AGTGAGAGGAAATATACCTGTCAGATAATGACCGTCAATTGTTTGTGTTTGTGAAAATATTCATAAAATACCAAACTTAACCCTCCTGTTCATAAAATGGACTTGTCCAACATTGATTGTAGTCAGGGATTATTTTAATAAGGGTAAATATCTTTAAAGCTTGTACATTTCATCAACATCCTTAAAGAGATTGTAAATAATGTTGATATCTCATATAAGCAAAAAACGACCCTCGTTTTTTTTTTATCCTTGCTGTTCTTTATTGTGTGATAACCAACTGTCCCTCGTCTTTTTTTCTTTAATTTCCTCGTGTCATGAAAGTTCGATCACATACGAAAATTCGCTGAATATTCAGAGTAATATTCATATAATCTAATTTTCAAATATCTTACCTCAAAACTTGTTTATTTATGTAAACACATAGTGGTATTTCCACTGAAAATGACACTCGCGGCATGGCCGCACTCTCACTGAAGTGGAACATAAAGCTACATCGATCATTTGATTGGCTGGTTTATCGAGTGACCGGGATTACATGTATGGATAGTCTCTTGTGTCAAAATCCGATTTAGAGTAAATACCACAGTAGTTTTATGATATTTCTGGGTGGTTCACCATTGGGCAAAACCTGTAAACATGCAGCTTTTTCTTTCATAAAATCTATACTACAGAGAGGGAAGTTCTAAAAAATCAATAAGTTTTCCTTGACAAATGGTCCTTACTTGTTTCCATAGTTTTAGATTTTACGAGGACAGCCCTTGTCTGGTCACGTGACATTTACACCAGGAAAGTAAACATGAAGACGGCAGGTGTGCCGTCGATTGGTGTGAATTTATTACCATTTACATTTTTTTTCAGCTGATAAAGTTACATTATTTATCTAGGCATGAATTAAATATACCCAGAAAATGGACAGTTAGGTTCGCAAATATCCGCGGAGTAAAAGTATTTGGTTAAAACACAATCAGTACTTAGTCTTCTTCAGTTTATAATGCGCCTGTGAATGATAATTTATGATCGCTCGTGCAGAACTATGTCTGAGTGGGGCATTCATAGAAAACTGCGGCATGGTATCTCAGTGGGCTATCACTATAAGATCGGCATTAGGCCGCACTAGTACAAGCAGACAGACAGACACACACACACACACACACACACACACACACACACACACACACACACACACACACACACACACACAGAGGTGTATGCACGTCAAGTTATAAGTTAAACAACCTTGAACGCGGCGTTAAACCCCATTTCACCTCACCTTACGGCATGCAGTAGCGCATAAACACGTTGTTTGCACACAGTAAAGTAACTATAAAGAAGTACGTGGTAATTATGAGGGGTTAAGCAAACATTGATATTGTATTGATTTTAAATAAAACATAAATGTGTTCATTGTAACGTAATATGTTATTGTTGCTGTGTCTCCTTATGCTCTCATGTTTTCTTCTCCCCTGAATGAGAATTCCAACTCAAGTCAGTATGAACTTTTAATCAAACTCACAAAGTACAGAATTCCAAGTTTTGCAGAACTCGCCAGAAGCATTGCTCTCAACCATTCCTCAAAGAGCTGCAACCGGAAAGCGAAAAGATAGGGGACCTATAGCTAGTGTTTGTAAATATATAGTTTACACCCATAGGCATATGTAGTTTGAGACCATACGGAATAATGGAGTTGTCCACCTTATTTATGTAATTCAAGAAAACTATGATGCTCTTACTTTTGAGAATTAATTATTAAGTTTCGATTTTGGAAAGTTTGACTGAAAATATGTATGGACTCTCGCAGCTCATTTTCACAGTTCCATTGTCATTGTGTCATCGTGAAACAGTAAAACAATCAGTTTGAGGAGAGTACTTCCATTGCTAACACAACACGGACAGATGCCAGTGGGATCTCCTAGGCCGTTGTGATAAAAATATGTCCAACAACAATATTGCACGACAGAAAATCCGAGGTGTAATTATAAGACCTTATACATGATTTAGTTCCTTGGTAAGTATATTATATCTTGTTTAATCATTGTCTGCTTGCAAGTAACTAATAAGCCAGGTCTCTGCTCGTTCATTGCGTACAGTGTCAAGGAAATACATTAATCTCACTTAACTATTGACAGAGTTACGCCTTCAGTCAGGTTGCCCAGTCGCAATGATGATTATTGTTGGGGACGTCTATATATAGCTGCACAGAGAGAGTTTGAAATTAGGACAGACCGCACTGACGCACACCACACAGGTATGTTACAATTGTTAATGGGTAAAAAAGAAAGCCACGGTTTGGAAAAGAGTGCAAAGAAATCCGGCGATATATAAAAGCTCTTATTTTCAAAAGAGGAAACGATGATGTTAATAATCTGTATTTAAGCTTACAGGCAAGGGCTTATAAAAGTATTTGAACAGAAATAAACATGCAAATATGGTAAATAAATGATTAAGATGAAACACTCGCCAAAAAACGTTTGGATTTTCCTTAACCCCAAATTTAATCTGAAATCTAAAGAAGAAAATACTCAAATGTTTATGATTTTAAAAAAAAGCTTAAATGGCACCATTCATAGTAGATAAAATAAAAGTATCAAATGACTGCGATGATGATGTACTAAATGCTGCTGATATATCCAAAGTGGAGATTAAACAATTGTTGAATTGTTGAAACGTTGAATTTTATTTCACCAATAGATTGCATTATTAAGGCTTTTGGTGTAATGGTGCTGCCAATACTGCTGTATGATTGTGAAGTTTGGGGTTATGGACAACTAGAAGTAATAGAAACATTCAAATTAGAGTTTCTGAAGATACTAACAAGTTTAAGGAACTCTACTGTAAGTTTCTAGTATACGGAGAACTGGGAAGAAAACTTTAAACAATCCAACTTTCAAAAAGAATGATAAGTTAATGCATTTAATAACTTCTTTTGTATGATACTGAAGTTTCTTAAACTTGACAATTGTATAGATAAACACAAAATAATATTGGTAATCTGATGTAAATAAAGTTTTGGACCACTTTAGAGTTAGTGAAGTATTTCACAATCCCAGTAACTTCAATCGACATTGGTTATATATTATTACCGCAAGTGGAATATGTACTACAGGAGCACTTTATACAATCCTTAGGAAATAATGCATCCTTTAGTTGTGAGGGAATTCTGTATTCAGAGATTCCCCTTCTTTCGAAAAATATGTATTACTTCACCACAAAATGACAATGCCTTTACTTAAATGCACAACCTCTAATCATAGTCAACTGATAGAGACCGTTAGATGGCGTGGTCTCCCCGTGAGGACAAAACATGCCGTCTGTGGGACTCTCAATCGATTGCAGATGAACTTCACTTTAAATGTCCCTATTTTATCTCTCACAGATATATGTATTTCAGAGTGACAAAACACAAGACTGTATAACAACTTCAACTTTCCCTATATGTCCAGCAATATTCCTGCAGCTCCAGCCCTTGGTGTATACATTTCACAACTTTTGAGGTACAATCGAGCATGCTCTTTCAAACAAAATTTCACAGAGCGTCATACGACTCTTACTGATAAGTTGTTTGATGAAGATTACAATATTCAAGGCCTCAGTAAAGCTTTCAAGAAGTTGAATGAGGAGGACATCCCTGTGTTTTTTTCAGATGAACAATTGACATGCCTTGGCATGTGTTTATGACGGTGCAACCGGTCGGGCAGCATCGCTCACCTTTTCGCGAACACCTGGTATCATCACTAATTGATAGTGATTCACAAACACATGCTTATGATATAGTCAGAATCGTAAATCTGTTTTGGCAGAAATTTCATATGAATATTGAAAGGGTTTTATTTACAGGAAAAGGACTGTACTTGCCCAAGTGTATTTAAATAGAAACGTGTGTTATGTCCTACAAGACTTAGATATATCAAGAAACATTCTAAATGTATTTCGATTATTCTCGCTACTGTCAGCAACAAATAATTTTGTGGATCATACCATAATTTTTGTAGCTGTATTTCATCACGTGTAATTATGTCCACAATTTTAATTATTCTGTAAAATATGCTCATGTACCAACGTGGATGGTTTTGATAATAAACTTGTTAATCAGGACGATTTCACTGGGAAGGGACTGGTTAGTCCGGATTAATGGAGTTTCACTGTAATTTCATCGATGTTAATGTCTTCAAGGTTGGCTGTTTAATATATTTGGTGATATAAACGAATGCTCCGAATCGTACACTGTATTTTGATTTCAGTAAACATTTCTTTTGATTATGGAAATTTTGCTTTTATTATCGATACTATTATTATTAATAAAATTGCTATATAACACACCTAGATTAGCGTCGCGTGTGAGTTTCAGGGTACCAAAAAACGAACATGTGTGTATATGCCTTAATTAATATTGTCAACAAGTCATCCTGGTAAAATGAGTAAGTACTTGTCATCTGATTTTGAAATATATTGAGGATTACTTAAAGATCCAAATAATATCATAATGCATTTAATTTCATTTACGACACTGTTACTTACTCAATAATGGATATGTTGCATTTAATACAATATTAAGAAACTGCTGAAATAACTGGTGTATGAGTTTTCAGAAGCATGTCGATGAAGCATACATTTTACACACTGGCAATTTGATACTATGTTAAAAATCACCAAATATTTATGTAACGTGGATAAACAAAGGTCAAACACCGGAGAACTAGCTATACAACCATGTCCACGTATTATACATAATTGTATTGATGTTTGCATGCCAATATAATATATTTAGCTGAAAGAAATCCTCATCAGAAGTATTAGGTTAAGGTATGAAGCCCATTTCTGGTGTCCCCAGCCATGATAATGCTGGACTTTTGTCGAGGGCGAAGTAGAACCATACTCACTCACTATTAGGTTAATGTACAATCAGTTCTTAGTCATCTTCGTGTTCACATTATAGCAGTGCGCAATACCAAAATGGGGTGGTTTCCCATACAATGTGCAGAATATCAAGAAATGAACAGTACCTGTCCCTGCAAATATCTCTCCGACTTGGCTCCCAGTATATCCAGGTAGTTGTTTGACGTAGAAACATATTAACAACAGTAGGAACGCACATGTGAATGTTAGGACTAATATCCCCCGTTTCATTTTACCGGTATCCCAGTCTGACACCTGCCGCACAGCTATTTATTGATGATACTCGGGACTAGATGTGCGCAAACCGGCGACACCCTTCACAGGCGTACAAATGTAGTGACAATTATACTTACTTAAATTAGGAATTTAACTGGCGCTTTCCGACATATGCGTATTTCGCGCAGACTGTTATAGCTCGGTTACTGCTACTTCTACTATGCCATTGAAGGATGCTTGATTCTGACTGGTCTGATTCCATTCTGTATTTGACTGTATTTCACTCAAAGCTGCACGACAGAGCATGTTTAGGGTTAACATAGACCAATACATGACACCACCGGGTAAAATGGGTGCAAGGATACAGTTGTATGGTGGCTGATAAGGGCCATCGCCATATCGCCCTGACATATCCACGCGATAGCACGAAACCACATTGAGATATCACGACAGGATATAACGATATTGCGATACTGCCAAAAACGAAATAGCGATAACACGCAAAGACATGGCGATAACACACAACGACATTGCGATAGCACGACACGACATGGCGAGAACACGACACGACATTGAGATAACACGACACGACATTGCGTATGGTAACACGATACGGCGAAATGGCAAATAAGCGACATAGCGATGTTGCGATATGGCGACATGGCAGTATTACTCAATATTATTTCATTTGTGAAATGAAGGAAAGTGGATACATAGGATCATAATAGTGAGTGAGTGAGTTGGGTTTAACGCCGCTTTTAACATTATTCCAGTTATATCACGGCGTGTCAGCTTAATGTGGGAGGAAAGTCCAAAATGATGCAGGTCTCTGACGTTTATTGCTTCGGTGAAACCCAGGAGCACGGGTATTGTGCTGTCAAACCTAGAAACATAATCGGGGCGAACCCACAATCATAGGTTTCTGGCGTGCCCAAGGGACGCAACTCTGCATAGCGAATCGCGTCGCCTTAGACGACTTGGTCACCCGTGCCCCCTTCTCTCATAATAAGAGAGCGGAAGGTAAATTAGATAACTGAGTGAGTGAGTTGGGTTAAACACCGCTTTTAACATTATTCCAGTTATATCACGGCGTGTCAGCTTAATGTTGAGGAAAACCCGACGTGGTGCAGGTCTCAGACGTTTTTTTCACTTCGGTGAAACCCACGAGCACGGGTATGGTGCTGACAAACCTAGAAACATAATCGGGGCCACAATCATAGGTTTCTGGCGTGCCCAAGGGACGCAACTCTGCACAGCGAATCGCGGCGCCTTAAGGGGCATTCACACGGTACAACTAGTTGTATACAATTTGTTGTATGCAACCAACTGCATCGTGTGAACACGCAAGTCGGACCAACTTTTGACGTATGCAACTTGTTGGACGTGAGTTGTACGGAGTAAGACATGCGACAAGTTGTATGAATGCAGCCTATCAAACGCGTATGAAAATCACGTGATTTTTACACCTGAATTTGTAAACAAAATTGACAAATTCTGCTTTTCGGTATTCTAAGTGTCACCACTCAATAAAGGACCTATGAAAAGTAGTAACATTGTAAAAAAATAATATTTTGACATTTGCATCGGTCTAATTCTCCAGGTTAAACTGTTCATGGTGTTACTTGAAACGACAGGCAATGTGACTGTATACTGTAGATCTAGTGTAGACCAAGATGAGATTAGGTTTATAATACGTTTCGAAAACTTAAACTACATCATACACACAAATACACGTCACAGTTTTAGATTCTGTGGGAAAGTATCTATTATGTAATGCCATCAACAACTATTTGAGGCAAAGCATATGCACAACAAACGACATTTGAAAATAGTGTACAACGAAAATATTGCCATTTTCGCATTTTACCAATCCCCCGTTCTAAATGTGATTATTTATTCAAATAACGTATAGCTACACGAGAAGTACAATTACAAAACCATTGGGTGTCTGCTATTTGTCCAAACACCAATCATCATTCCGAAAAGACTCCAATAACCCTATATTCGTTTTCGAAACATAAAAGCTCTGTATCGAACCTCCATATTGGACAGTGTTGAAAAATCACGATTCTTTCCGCGTCAGGCGAGATGCCTGTCACATCACATGTATTTCACACTCACCTACGAAACATTCATCCCTGAATTCATCATACCATTAACAATCAACTGACACATTGTCTAGGTCACCAATACAAACGATCCAAATGAAATCAACCGAAATATTCAAGTGTGAAACCAAACCCTGTGCTCTGAAACCTACCAGTGGGCCTTCTCATTTGTAAACAAAGCAAACTTCTAATTTTACTTAACATTTTCTACTAACCCGAGAGATTCAGTCGTCAATTTGTTGCATACATTAGCTTAGATTATTACGAATATGCATGGGTCGATAATCGTTGCAAGAATTGAGGATTTAAGACTCTAGATACTTATTTGGAAAAGTCCACAGAAATAGTTCCACGTGACGCCATGTTTGACGCAAAATCACGCACACTGACGACGGTATTGGTCTGCCTTTCCACGCAGTATCAAGGCTAGAATGGAAACATAAAAACAAATAGAACTTGTTGATTTCAGATTGCTTGCTTAACTTACATGACTCATTTATGTATGTATATATGTGATCTCTGCATCGCGGTATAACCTACTCCAAACATCCGCGTACTGCTATCAGACAACTCGCTATGTTATGACGGGAGGTTACCGGTACAGTGATGTCATATTAGTATACGTCAACATCAATATCCTTGTACATATTTGTTATTTTCTTTGAGGTGCGGGTGAATTAGTACACAACGCATTCAGTTAATGAAGTAGTTTACTGTTTCAATCTTGAATTATAATTTGAATATCTCTTCAATATCGTTTCACCCAGTAAAATAATGCACTGCTGCAAAATGGGTATATGTATGTAGTACTGTTTCTAATATTACCTAAAATGCTATAGGATTTATGAAACTCTTAATTAATAATCAGCTGTTTGTTTGAAACATAGAAATTGACATTCGTGGTGTAAATCTTCCTATGAGAAGCTTTATGAATGTAACAGACTGCAGCATATACATACATTCGTCAAAAAAGGAAAAGCACGGGTAGTATGTAGTTCTTTGAACCTGACATCACAAAAAATCCGGTATATAAATTGGATATATGTTATTGGAAAATGTTGGTGGCCTGATATTCGACAAACGGTGCATCAAAACGCAGCCATTGTCGATTTGCAATCATATGTCTTAAACGGCATTGTTTTCACACTTGTTCAAAAATGTCATGGAGGAAAACAGTAAAGCAAAATGCACGCGCAAGTTATGGCATTCGTAACTCGTGGTAGTGGCTATAAAACTGCAAGCATAAGCCAATAATTTGTCATTCAATTGTCAACATTTTTCAAGTTCGAAAATGCCGAGACTCTGCCGATCACAGAGGGGAATCACAGTCTTCTGTTGCACGCCAATTCAACGTCCACCACAGCACCATTTGCCGCCTTTGTGACCGATACACACGGTTCAATTCCATCGCAGACCGTTCGAGAACCGGCCGACCAACAGTTACCACCCCTACACAGGATCGCTACATTCGACTGTTCAACCTACGTTATCGCAATGCCACAGCTACGGAGACTGCAGGACACATCCCTGGTTTGAGGAGGATATCGGACCAGACTGTCAGGAACCATCTTCGCGAGGCTGAAATCCGACCCAGAAGACCAGTTATCGTCCCTGTTTTGCAACAGATCCATCGACAGCGACGCTTGCGTTGGTGCCATAGCTTACAGCCTTGGAATTTGAGAAACTGGAGACGAGTGTGGTTCAGCGATGAATCACGATTTCTTCTTCACCGGCGAGATGGAAGACAACGTGTTTATCGTCGTCGAAATGAGCGTTTTGCCCCACATTGTGTACGTGAATTCCACATCCAGATCTCAACCCAATCGAACACCTCTGGGATAAACTCGATCGACGTGTACGTCAAAACGCCGCAGACACTTCCACAACTGGCCAACGCGTTGCAAGCAGAATGGCGCAGAATTCCACAGGACAGTATTCGTACACTTATCCAGTCGGTGCCGAGGAGATGCAGAGCCGTGATTGCTGCCCGGGGCGGTCACACGAGATACTGAGTTCAGCGCAACCTTGTGGTCTTATGTGACATGTCAATGAACAGTTTTCAATGCCTTTGTACAACGACGACATGTAACTATCGAGCCCCACTACTGTTGTAGTGATAAAGCCATACATTGTGTTCTTTTAATCGAAGTTTTCTATACTATGAACGTATATTAGTGGTAATATACTGTTACTTTTTTGTGGTACCGATTTCTATGACGTCATAGCGGAAAATTCATTTTCACCACATAAAACAAGTACGTTTTCCAATCGAATGTGTCACGTTATACATAATCGTACAATACTAATATATCTGTCATGATGTTGTTTGGATATAAGACAGTATTTTGTTCGCTCACAGTTTTCATTAAAGTGTCAAATCAAACATTTCGTCGCACTGTACTTTAAAATATGTAGAGAATGTTGAGGGTAAAGGGCTTCACTTTGAACACCCTGTTTTCTTTATATACCGCGATCTGAGACACTATTAAGTGGTATATAGATAGATATAAAACTAGTCTATAGATGTGAATCCTTTTGATGATACATCTGTGAGATTTAAGTTGATTTTGACAGCCCAAACACTTTTGACAGAGATTTTCTTAGGAAAATACAGTAAAAGTGCTTGACTTTAATGGACCAGTTTTCTTTAAATGCGATGTACTGTGACATTATAAAGTGGTATATAGGTAGATATAATACCAATCTATAGATGTAAACACATTTGATGATACATCAGTGTGTATAAAGTTGATTTTGACAGCCCGGGGCAAGTCGGACCCAACACAAGCCAAACACTTCTGATGGACACTATGTTGAGAATGTAGAGGGAAAAGGGCTTCACTCCGGTGTTGTTGTTGCATTAAGTTTTTAAGAGGTCGCCTGCCGCCTAATGCTACTATCACACCAAAGTAGTTCTATCCCGTTCTACCCCGTTCTAAACAAAATACTAGAACGGGCTGTGATCACGGCGTAGTTTGGCGTAAAATACGATGTTAGTTCGTCCATAAGCAGTCCCCAATACGTCTATCTCGTTCTTATCTCGTTCTTAGCCAGTCTGCAGTCCGTTTGTATCCAGTTCAGATCGTGTTAACGTGCCCGTTCATCTCATCCCGACAACGTTTCGAAGCAGGTCCGTAGCCGTTCTCAACCTGTTCTTAACAGGATTGCCTAAAAGTCGGGCCAAGAAAAGTCGGGCCGGGCCAGCGGGTAATACTAAAAATGGATTGCAGAATAATAACACGAAACGTGCATATCTAGGCAGATCTCAAATGTCCACAAACGTATAGTTTTTCTCATTTAATTGAGTTTGACTCAAAATGCATCTTCAACAATGTAATAAACTGATAATTATGACTACATACCGTGAGTCCTCGTAGAAAAGTCAGTGTCTTGACTGTGTGTTTTCTTTGATGAGAATGTTTCTCACCGACCTTAGCGTGTAGGGGTGTGATGTCCTGGGCAGGAAGCGATAGTGTTTTGACTACTCTTCTTTCATTAATTAACGTGTTGGGCATCCCTAATTAACCTTTACTAATTCATGTTAAACCAACACAGGATGTTTTCTGGAAGTGGATATTCGCGAATGTCATAGGGCTGACACGAAACGTGTTAATAACTGTCCTAGCACTTCTAAAGTTACTAAACATTCTTTGTATCTAAAGACTAGTATTATATCACATTTTAAACCACATTATTGTCTCATTTCGCGGTAGTTAAAGAAAATTAAACAAGGTGCTCAAAGTGGGGCCCTTTTCCCTCTACATTCTCAACATAGTCTCTATCAGAAGTGTTTTGTCCGTGTTGGGTCAGACTTTGCCCGGGCTGTCAAAATCAACTTTAAAAACACAAATGTTTCATCAAATGTGTTTACATCTATAGACTAGCATTATACCTACCTATATACCACTTTATAGTGTATCAGTTCGCTGTATTTAAAGAAAACAATGTGCGCAAAGTGAAGCCCTTTATCCTCTACATTCTCAACATAGTCTCTATCAAAAGTGTTTGGCTTGTGTTGGGTCCGACTTGGCCCTGGCTGTCAAAATCATCTTTAAACACATAGATGTATCATCAAATACGTTTACATCTGTAGCTTAGTATTATATCTACCTATATACAACTTTATAATGTCTCAGTACATCGTATTTAAAGAAAACAAGATGTTCAAAGTGAAGCCCTTTTCCCTCTACATGTTCAACATAGTCTCTACCAAAAGTGTTTGGCTTGTGTTGGGTCCGACTTGGCCCGGGCTGTCAAAATCAACTTTAACCTCACAGATGTATATTCAAATGTATTCAAATGTATAAACGAGTATAATATCTACCTATATACCACTTTATAATGTATCAGTACATCGTATTTAAAGAAAACTGGCCCGTTAAAGTCAAACACTTTCACTGTATTTTCTTAAGAAAACCTCTGTCAGAAGTGTTGGGTCCGACTTGGCCCGGGCTGTCAAAATCAACTTAAACCTCACAGATGTATATTCAAATGTATTCAAATGTATAAACGAGTATAATATCTACCTATATACCACTTTATAATGTATCAGTACATCGTATTTAAAGAAAACTGGCCCGTTAAAGTCAAACACTTTCACTGTATTTTCTTAAGAAAACCTCTGTCAGAAGTGTTGGGTCCGACTTGGCCCGGGCTGTCCAAATCAACTTTAAACACATAGATGTATAATCAAATGTGTTAACATCTATAGAGTAGTATTATATCTACCTATATACCACTTTATAGTGTCTCAGTACATCGTATTTAAAGAAAACTGGTCCGTTAAAGTCAAACACTTTTACTGTATTTTCTTAAGAAAACCTCTGTCAGAAGTGTTGGGTCCGACTTGGCCCGGGCTGTCAAAATGAACTTTAAACACACAAATGTTTCATCAAATGTGTTTACATCTATATACTAGCATTATACCTACCTATATACCACTTTATAGTGTCTCAGTTCGCTGTTTTTAAAGAAAACAAGGTGCTCAAAGTGAAGCCCTTTTCCCTCTACCTTCTCAACATAGTCTCTATCAAAAGTGTTTGACTTGTGTTGGGTTCGACTTGGCCCGGGCTGTCAAAATCAACTTTAAACTCATAGATGTATCATCAAATGTGTTTACAGTAAACTACGGTTATAACGAACACGCTTATAACGAACTAACGGATATAACGAACTAACTTTTTAGTCCCGACTATATGCTGTAGTTATGCTGTATATATGCTTATAACGAATTACGGTTATAACGAACTAAAATTAGTAGTCCCTTTGAGTTCGTTATAACCGTAGTTTACTGTATATCTATACCTTGTTTTCTTTAAATACGATGTACTGTGACGGGAACATAAACATTATAATGATAATGATGATGAAAATTGTTTATGATGAGGATGATCCCCATATTTTAACGTCTATGGTGTGATTAACAAGGAGGCCTTTCATGATTGAAATTAATCGTGCACTATTGCACATATGTATTTATCTGAAGATCCTCTTGTGAAGCTTGTCAAGACTGAAAACAAGTCATTCAATGGATTTTCCTAAACGACCCATTGATGTAGTACTGAATATCAATGTTAATGTTTATTTTGTTGATGGTGCTGGACGGTACAGAAATGAGTGTCAATCAAGCGAAGTGCCATATCAAATCGACCCAGGACCAGCCACTTGCCACTCGAAAACGTCAATGTGTGATTTTGTGTCAAAGTTGATGTCCAGCTTGACACAAACACAGTATCTTTGGCATGGTTCGATCCTCTTGTTACCGTAATGTGTGGTTTTGACTCCGAGACCATCAATGGTACGACCCAGAATATGCAGAGGGCGTCGTGGGAAATGATAATTACATAAAATAATTCTTTGGAATACGCCCACGGGCTGGTTGTCAGGCTCGCTGACTTGGTTGATTGGATGCATGTCATCTTATCCCAATTGTGTGGATTGATGCTCGTGATGTCAATCACTGGATTGTCAGGTCCAGACTTGATTATTTGCATGACCTCCGTCATATAGCTGGCATATTTACATTTAGTACTAACGACTAAATGACTTTATCGCGCGTATCCAAACCATTACGTCTGTAACCCAACCACCCCTCGTAACCCAATCACCCCGGGCCACCACTCGGCACCGTGCCCGGGGAATAATCCCGCGCAAGCATCATCCCGTCCTTTGTTAGTCGGTCATTCGCGAGCAACCCTTCCCCAAGTACACACGTGTGTCACTGTATCTAATCGCTTTCTTTCGCTTTGGACGTTTCTTTTGTACCCAGTCGCGACCGTTTTGTCGATTACGCTTCGAATACCATCTATTCCAACACTCGCCGTATCGCATTTACACAATCGCGACCGTTTCGCCGATTACGCTTTAAATACCATCTATTTTCAGCACTCGCCGTATCGCATTTATTCCGTTCTACTCCCGAACTTCACCCTCGGGACAATTTACGCTTGTGGAATACCAACTCACCACCTCGACCTTTCTGGATGCCTCCCAAGAGAAGAGCAACCGTCAACCACAAGCTGGTGAGGGGAGCCAAGCAGCCCAGGACAACCAGAAGACAAACCCCTGGAGTACACATTGTACAGGAGGCAACAGCTGATGGTGAGTCTGCCAATTACGGCAATATCGAAGGTGGCAACAGAATTAACGTACAATCGGCGCAGCTTGTAAATGCCGCACAGGCTGCCAACTCGGCTACCCAGGTAAACGAGCAACTGGAAAAAATACTCCAGTTGCTGGAACATTCAGCGCCTGGCCCGGTTAGCGCAAACCAACAGGTAAGGCGTGGTTTTAGTTCCCCCGCCATTTCGCCCAACATAGGGAGAATCCCCGATGCCCTCAACGAGGCCGACGGTGACGCGGCTTGGCCAGCCAATCACACCGCAGGATACGGGGATTCCCTTTCTTTCCGTGCGGACGGGATAGACGCGCACGTCAAACAACAGGTGAGGGAAAAAATCTGGCGTGGCGAGTATGTCGACCTCGGCACAATCCTACCAAACAACGAGGGAGGTCACGAGGACGGTACGATTACCATGGCGTACGACTCCTCAGGTAAGGTAATTTTAAACCAATTAAGCAGCAACCAAAGCGTCTGTCCCTGGCGAGCTGGACTTCAGCTTTCCACATTTTCATGTGTATATATGTTAGTAGGCACTCCGAGGTCCGCACAACCCAGGGGTTGCTGTCCTACATGGAAACCATAAGGACGGCGGCACTTCGATTCGGGGGGGATGCCTGGTCAACCTACGACCAACAATTCCGACACAGAATGTCAAGGGACCCCTCACGACGCTGGGACAACATCGACGGGGAGTTGTGGCTGAAGTACATGGTAACACAGCCGGTACGACAACCAGAATCAGGCGGACGGGGCGCAATGACACGCGTACAGGGGGACATCGCCAGTCAGGTATGCTGGGATTTCAATAAATTTGGCTGTAGCAGGGTTAACTGTAAGTACACTCACAAATGCGGTAAGTGTGGCAAACATTCCCATAGCTCTAGGACCTGCTTTCGAGGGAATGGGGTCCAACCGACCCCATACAAGCCCAATCAGCCTTTTCCTAACAGAAAACAACCCGGCAAGGCAGGTAAATTCAATGGCCCCTTCCCCCGTGGACCTCAATGAAATGGCACCTTGGTTACGCCAATATGCTAGGGTCAATTACAGAGATGCAAATTATTTATGGGTAGGTTTTAGCTTTGGCTTTAAGCTCGAGTTCCAGGGAAGCCGCACGGGTCGCCTGGCACGAAACTTGCGATCAGCCACGCACCAAGACACGGCAGGCTACGTGAAACAAAAACTACAAAAGGAAGTCGACCTTGGCAGGATGGCGGGCCCCTTCAAGGACACCCCCCTAGACAACCTCCAAGTATCCCCAATAGGCCTGGTGCCCAAGAAGCAGCCAGGATATGGTCAGCACCTGGGTAAGCATGCGGAGGAATTCCGTCTAATTCACCATCTATCCTATCCCAGGGGTAAATCTATAAATGACTTCATAGACACAGAGGCCTGCTCCGTTGTGTACGCAAGATTTGATGAAGCTACCCATATGGTTCAACAACTGGGAAAGGGAGCACTACTAGCAAAATTCGACATTCAGTCGGCCTTTAGAATTATACCAGTCCACCCATCCGATTTCGAGCTGCTAGGCATCAGATTCGAAGGTGAGTTCTATTTCGATAAATGCTTACCATTTGGCTGCTCCATATCTTGCGCCATATTTGAAACGTTTAGTACCTTCTTGCAATGGTGCATGCAATCGCATCTTCCAACGCGTCCGATCATGCATTACCTGGACGACTTCCTAACGGGGGGCACAGCAGGCACCAGCCACTGCTCAGACAACCTCAACGGATGCGTGAATACACTTGAACAGCTTGGGGTTCCTATTGCGCACGACAAGACGGCGGGCCCCACAACCAAACTGACATTCCTAGGGCTGGAAATCGACACCATTGCAATGCAGATCAGAATCCCAGAGCCCAAGATCAAGGAGGCAACAAGGGAAATCCATGACATCCTGTCAACAGGTAACATCAAGGTTGCAAAAAGGGCCCTTCAGTCCCTCATAGGCAAGCTTAACTTTATGTGCAGGGCTATACCAATGGCAAGGGCATTCAGCCGCAGGCTAATCGATCTGCTTAGCAAAGGTAAGCAACCATTTCACCACATTAGGATTACCAGCTGGGTCAAGGAAGACCTACAAATGTGGTTAACATTTCTTACGAGTTACAACGGCATTTCAGTGTTTCAGGACCAACTATGGGTGGACAGCGATTTCCTCCAGCTGTTTTCAGACGCAGCGGGCGGCGCCGGCTTTGGGGCCTACATGCAGGGCAAATGGTTTAACGGCGCATGGCCAACCCAGTGGGTGACGGATGGAACTACACGGGACTTGACGCTCCTGGAGCTGTTCCCCATCACACTGGCCATCCAAATCTGGGGCAAGCAACTCGCAAACAAAAAGGTCCTCTTTTACTGCGACAACCAAGCCGTCGTAACAATAATCAACAAGCAGTCAACCAAGGCCCCCAGAGTGATGAGCCTACTCCGTCGCCTAATCCTGCAGTGCCTCCGATATAATATTATGTTTAAGGCAAAGTATGTATGTTCCACTGCTAACACTATTGCCGATGCTCTCTCGAGGTTTCAGCTCAAACGCTTCCGAGAGGCAGCACCAGCCGCGGACCAGAACCCCACACCTATCCCGTGCAACATATGGCTGATCTGAGGCAGGAAGCCGGCAGACTCCTACAACAATCTCTGTCTACTAATACATGGGCCACTTACCAAACAGGCATCAATGCCTTGCACCAGTTCCGGTCCGCACACCAGCTACAAGAGGTGTGGCCAGTCCCGCTGGATCAGGTCGTAAACTTTATTGCTTATCTGTCAGTCACTCACCACTCCCCCAACACAGTCAAGACTTACATTGCAGCGCTGTCTTCACACCACAAATTTCACGGGCTCACCGACTGTACAAACCATTTCCTGGTAGGCAAGATTGTAACTGGCTTACACAAATCAGCGGGCCGTCCAGACACCAGAAAACCGATCACTGCAGATCTGCTGCAGGTAGTAACCAACAATCTGCCTCACGTATGCTCATCAGCATATGAAGCCAGGCTGTTCAAGGCAGTCTACTGCACAGCCTTCTTCGGTTTCTTTAGGGTTAGCGAACTGGTCCAAACTGGACCCTCAAAAACAGGTTGCGCCATCCAGAATCTAAGCTTCTCGGGCAACCCCCAGCAGCTTGCAATCCATTTACCACACTCAAAGTCCGATCAGTACAGGATGGGGACAACAGTTACAATGTCACCTATACCAGGTAACCCGCTATGTCCGGTAGTCGCCATCAAGCACTACCTGGAGGCGCGCCCCTCCGGCCCACAACATGCATTCGTCCACTTTGACCATTCCCCCGTTACAAGGTACCAATTCCAGGCACTCCTAAAAAAGGCCTTAGCACACAGCAACATAAACACGGCCTGCTATTCTTCGCACTCCTTCCGCATTGGGGCAGCCACATCAGCAGCCATGAACGGGGTGCCGGAACACCTCATACAACAATACGGCAGGTGGAAATCAGATTGCTACAATGCTTACATACGCCTACCAACAAATTCAATGTTGCACAACTAATTCAAATAGTCTTTCATGGTACTTACTACACTTCTTATTGTTTACAGTTTGGATGGTGGGATCCAGCTACATGGCCAGGGCACGGCAGTACTTGCTCCTGAAGGGCACCAGTCCGAACCAACCGAGGATGCTATGGCTGGCACGAGGGGGGATGAGGTGGAAGGAGCTGGACACCATTCTGGATGCACAGGTCAAGGCGACACGGCGCAGCCCCAGAGCCCTCATCATTCACCTGGGCTCCAACGACCTGTGCTCGGTCAAGGGCAGCCAACTCTACCTTGACATGGTGGCATCAATCCTTCGGATACAACTCCAGCTTCCTGACACCAGGATCATCGTATCCTCAATGCTGCCCAGGCGCTACTGGCACGATGCCAGGGACCCACTAAAGATCGAGGGGATGCGGAAGAATATCAACCGCCGACTGGCCAACCGAGTCAAAGAGCTCGGCGGTACAATGGTGCCACATCCCCAGATCCTGGCATCAGACAAGACATGGTACGCCTGGGAGGGCGTCCACCTCAGCGACAAAGGACTGTGTGTGTTTACGGACAATTTATTGCATGCCCTAGCGCTCGTTTTGCGCCAGTAAGGATATTATCTCCACAGGTTAGTGTTTCCGTTCAGTACATAGGCAAGCCGGGCAACAATGCTATCTCCGCGTATCGCGTGGCCGTGGGTGTGGGGTAGCACTCGGGTGCTTTGTGGCGGGGTTCTTGTGGGCTACACTGCTAGTAACAAATTAACTTGCTTCCAAATTAATACTCGTGCTTAAGGCTACCTGCTTTTCAGCGGGAACCTTTCCGGGGTTACCTGCTTCTCAGTGGGAACCTTGTCTTTCCCGACTTTTCAGCCGGGGAATCGTAAAATAACATACGTTGGGGCAAACAATTGCCACGTATATGGGCCCGGCGGCGGAAGTCGTCTTGTCAAGCGGTAGCTGACAGTTGGGTCCGCGGCGGGGGCCGCACAATGGTTTTGCTGATGGGGCCGGGCAGTGTGATCTGCTTTGGCCGGCTACCTGGGGCCGGGCAGCGGCAGTCTGACTTAGGCCAGCAGCGTGGAGCTGCTTTTGGCAGCGTGGGAGTTGCCAAGCAATGGTAGCGTTTAAATATGCTACCGTGGGGGCCGGACAGCGGTAGCAGTCCCAGGCCAGCAGCGCTAGCTGCAATCGCCGTCGGCCACGCGCGTGGCCATGGCAACGGTAGCATTTTGGTATACACAATTAGCAGCTAAGTAGCCCACTAGTACCTGCACACCCTCGGCCATTTAACCCAACCTCATCTTCTGTTTTTATTACAGGCACGGGCACCCACGGCTCGGTGGCCCGTGCCTCTCCTTGGCATATCGCGGGATAATTACATTTAGTACTAACGACTAAATGACTTTATCGCGCGTATCCAAACCATGGGCTTATTACGTCTGTAACCCAACCACCCCTCGTAACCCAATCACCCCGGGCCACCACTCGGCACCGTGCCCGGGGAATAATCCCGCGCAAGCATCATCCCGTCCTTTGTTAGTCGGTCATTCGCGAGCAACCCTTCCCCAAGTACACACGTGTGTCACTGTATCTAATCGCTTTCCCACCCACCCACCCACTCAGCTTGCCACTCCCTTTTCTTTCCTTTTCAGCCTGACGTGTCCTCTTCACCTGGAATGCTAATCACTTCTTTTTCAGCGTTTATTCTATTACAGGTACCAGCAGAGCGGATTGTATATATGTAAATAAACCTGTACATATGTAAAATAGGTTTTCAGAGCGCTTGTATATATGTACATACTTTTAAATGATTCTGATATATGTAAATAAACATGACTTCTTAATAGCTGTATATATGTATATATGCAATACCTGTCTCAACAATAAACTATGTCGAGGTGTGCGGGGTTCTTGTGGGCTACACTGCTAGTAACAAATTAACTTGCTTCCAAATTAATACTCGTGCTTAAGGCTACCTGCTTTTCAGCGGGAACCTTTCCGGGGTTACCTGCTTCTCAGTGGGAACCTTGTCTTTCCCGACTTTTCAGCCGGGGAATCGTAAAATAACATACGTTGGGGCAAACAATTGCCACGTATATGGGCCCGGCGGCGGAAGTCGTCTTGTCAAGCGGTAGCTGACAGTTGGGTCCGCGGCGGGGGCCGCACAATGGTTTTGCTAATGGGGCCGGGCAGTGTGATCTGCTTTGGCCGGCTACCTGGGGCCGGGCAGCGGCAGTCTGACTTAGGCCAGCAGCGTGGAGCTGCTTTTGGCAGCGTGGGAGTTGCCAAGCAATGGTAGCGTTTAAATATGCTACCGTGGGGGCCGGACAGCGGTAGCAGTCCCAGGCCAGCAGCGCTAGCTGCAATCGCCGTCGGCCACGCGCAACGTGGCAACGGTAGCATTTTGGTATACACAATTAGCAGCTAAGTAGCCCACTAGTACCTGCACACCCTCGGCCATTTAACCCAACCTCATCTTCTGTTTTTATTATAGGCACGGGCACCCACGGCTCGGTGGCCCGTGCCTCTCCTTGGCATATCGCGGGATAATGCGGAGTGTGGCGTTAAATGAAAAAACAAACAAACAAAACATATAAATTTAACTGCTTATTTCAAATTCGAGATAAAAATACATAGCGCCATCACGAACTCCCAATCTGACTTTACAATATAACTGTGTTCCATGATATCGAAGTTTGAATTTGCCACCGTGACAGCTTTAAGAAATCTTAATTAGAATTTTACTTAACTGTAAACAATTCTCCTCGATACAGGTTGAGGAATCCGTAATGAAGTCAAAGAAAGTGATCATTTGCAACATTGTCAAACTTAGTTTCATCCACAGAAACCACGGACCTTTTTCGCAAAACTAAAATTCAACTCAATCCTTCACTTGTTTTTCTGTCACAATGTTTATTGATTATTACCTGCGAAGAACATTTCAATTAATCATCGAGATACATTTCAATTAGCCACACCCTACACCTGTTGTATTCTGAATTGATTTAAACAGTATTTTATTTCCATTAATGTTCAGATTTTGCATTACATGAGATCAGCAATTAAATTGATCGTCTATGCAATCGTATTTCTATGGATCTATAATACACAGTCTGTTACTCAGTTTTATTTCGCTTATTGACTTTCTACATAGGTGAACAGGGAAATTTATTTTACATGCAAACAACATGTTATTCATGAGGAAAATATAATTACATGATAGGGGTTTGTGAACACACAAATAATTATTTATTCAAACACCTCTTCCTTTAAAAAACATGTTTTATATTAACACACACAAATGTTTTTTACAAACAATAGTTGATTTTATGCTTCCAAACAAACCACACGCAAGCTATTGTTGAATTTTAAAAAATAGCCAAGGTAAATGTATCCACAATCATATTCAATCACAAATATCGTTCTGTTCTATATAAATGTAACAAATGAACTAACCATTTCAGTGGATCTCAACATGGACAAAACTGTTGGAGACACACACACCACGTCATACACACACACACACACACACACACACACACACACACACACACACACACACACACACACACACACACACACACACACACACACACACACACACACACACACACACACACACACACACACACACACACACACACACACACACACACACACACACATACATACATACTTGGCTTAAAATGAAATTGCCTTCTTTTAACCATGTTGTAAATTGATTTGGCTAAAATACATTGGAGCGATTCTTCGTTCATAATAAAAATAAACTTTTCTAAACTACTCATATAATGAAATGCTTTATCTACTGATGTTGCTTCTTTAGCTAAGTTGTATCTGAAATCATCATAAAATGGACATTCTATTAAAAAGTGACATTCATCTTCAACATAATTTACATGATCATTAATAGGATTGGCGTGACAATATTTACAAGTCCTATCCAACAGTGGGGTAGGTGGCTTGGCGTAGCGGCCGGTCTCAACATGTAAAGGTAAAATACCACATCGAAAGGATGCTAAAAGTCTTCGATGATCTCTAAAACGTACATGACATAAATAAGGCTCAGCAGTAGGTGATGATTTGTACATTCTGTATGTGCGTAATTTATTGCCATTTGGATTATTCTTGTCATTCCAAAGCGCAGTATACCACATATCACAATCTTCAGCAGTTAAGATACACTTTACACGGTCAACACACTGTTTAATGCTGTATCCACAATAGTGAGTGAGTGAGTGAGTTGGGTTTAACGCCGCTTTTAACAATATTCCAGTTATATCGCGGCGTGTCAGCTTAATGTGGGAGGAAAGCCCGAAGTGATGCAGGTCTCAGACGTTTACCACTTCGGTGAAACCCACGAGCACGGGTATGGTGCTGACAAACCTAGAAACATAATCGGGGCGAACCGGGATTCGAACCCACAATCATAGGTTTCTGGCGTGCCCAAGGGACGCAACTCTGCACAGCGAATCGCGGCGCCTTAGACGACTGGGCCACCCGTGCCCCCGTATCCACAATAAGGTAAATATGACAAATTATAGTGAGCTAAAATGTTTTCGATTTTTTTTATCCCAGGATTGTGATCGTATTTTGGACCAATTATGAATGATAAGAGGGAGATGATAGGCCTGCATATTCTGAATTCTAAAATATAATCTAAAGCATTCAACGTGCTTTGACACTTTCACAGAACACCAGCCCATGTCCCCCCTAATAGCAGTAACTGGGGCATTTTTTCTTACGCCTAGAAACAAACGACAAGCCTTATTTTGAATTATTTCTACTTCCTTATACTTATTCAAACCCCAAATGCCAGCACCATAAAATAGAACAGGTTCTACAAGAGCTTTATAAAGCTTGTTAAATACTTCGTAAGACATGCCATCCGCGTGTTTAAACTTTGAATACAACGCAGAAAGAGCTCTGCTAGTCGATTTACACAGTACTTGGACTGTTTTGTGCATATCTAAATGCTCATCAAAAGTTAAACCAAGATATTTGTAAGAGCTTTCATAATCAATAATAGATTTGCCGCATACAAATACTCGCTCAGATCTAGCCACAGATTTGTTTCTGAAATGCATGATTTTGGTTTTGTCTGAATTAATATCCAAACGCCATTTTTGACACCATATATTTAAAACATTTAACATTTTCTGTAACGAGTCTTCGTCTTCAGCTAACAAGGCTATATCATCAGCATACAACAAAACTGATAACACAGAACTTTCAATAGGTATGCCACAGTTTAACTTATTCATTTCTAACACCAAATCATTAATATAAACGGAAAATAACGTTGGCGATAACTTGCATCCTTGTTTAACGCCCAAGGTAACATTAAAAGATTCAGTGATAAAACCATTGAGCTTAACTGCACTCTTTACGTCCATATATAAGGCTTGTACAGCTTGTAGCATTTTACCATGAATACCAACAGACATAAGCTTGTACCAAAGGCAATTGCGATTAACCCTATCAAACGCCTTCTTAATATCAACAAAACAGACATACGTAGATCGTTTAGAGGCTTTACGGTTATTAACAATATTATAAAGTGCATATAAATGATCAGTGCAGTTTCTCTTAGGTCTAAAACCATTTTGCTCTTCCACAAGAATATTATTTGACTCCAACCACTTCTGTATCCTACAGTTCAGTATACACGTGTAGACTTTACAGGGTATTGATATGAGAGTAATGCCCCTGTAAGACAAAGGATCTGACGGGGTACTTTTGTCCTTAGGAATAGGAGTTATTAGTCCTGTCCCCACTGAGACGGCGACACTGAATGTTCAAAACAATACTTAATAATATGGTGAAGTAAGTTAATACAATGAGGATTTCGTA